TGAGATTTCCAGTTACAATGTAAAATATAGAAATGTTGACATCTTTCCCCTTCCACGATGTTAAATGTTAAATATCAAAGCATTGAATCCACTGGACATTGCCTGCCAGAACACTAGCTGGAAATTACACAGTGCACAACTAACAATACTGCTCAGACACAAAATTCATCAAACAAAGGTATACAAAGATTTATCAAAATTTCTGTTTTAAAAATGGTACAAACATGTAAAGGAAGAGGAATCAATGAAATGAGACTGCTGGTTCAACTAGTTTCCATGCTGGCTGACTCAGTGTTAATGCTATGCAAAATAGCTTCCACCAGATCACCCGTGGAATAAAATAAACTTAGCTTTGGATACTTGCTTCCCTCCAGTTACCTCCCAAATTGGTAACTATATAGCATATTATGTAGTACATATAGAATAGGGATCCAGCTTGTATCACTAAAACACAAATAAAAAATACAACGTAGCGTAATATTGTTGCAGCCTTATTAATTGCCCAATAGTTCAAGGTTCCACTCACAGATTGGTTGTATATAATAAGCCTTCAGGTTGCCATAAATAAAATAAATAAGCAGTTAATTTATTGGCATATAATAAAATAAATAAACAATTTATTTTATTATATGCCAATATATTAACTGCTTTCTACATCCAACCATTGGGAGAGTGTGAACTTCTTGGTCTCCAGATTGGCGTTATTACAACCAGTAGGATATACCCCCCTATTCACAGGGGTGGCAACCTGAAGGCTTATTACATACAACCAATCTGTGAGTGTAACCTTGAACCATTGGGCAATTAATAAGGCTGCAACAATATTACGCTATGTTGTATTTTTTTATCAGTGTTAATACTGACCACTTTTTAGATTCTCTTCTCATTCAGACTTAACCAATTTACAGCAATGTGTTAAAGGATCTACATTCAATCCATTCTGGAATCTGTTAGTCCAGGTGTTGGTGTTATACACCTGTTAGTCTAATTGATACTCTGCATTTCGTTGGTACTTTGAATTTCCAACAATTCTCACTTACGCCTAACCCTGGTACGTTCAACCTTTTATTTTATATTGCAAAATAATTCACTTTATTTTCACTTCTCTTGTTTTTACTATCTCTGCTGTTTATCGAGAGCTACTGTAACCAGAGTTAAAATCCAATAATTATATATTTTAATATCATCAACATGTCAAATATGACATGGGAAATAGCTGGTATGAGTGTTGTAAACACACAGATGGGACTGGGTGTTTAATGTACATCTGAATCTTAATAAGCCCGATAATATGAATTAATGCTGTATCTATGCCAAGATCAGTAGGGCTTGAAAACAATGGGATATAATTAATTGCATGCGAGGAGAAGACTTGAAAGTACATTAAATTGTTTATCACTTAGTGGTGTTTTTATTCACTAGCGCAAAGGTTGTATGAATCATGCTAAAACTACCCTGAGCCCATCAATCCTTTCAGTGACTCGCAAAATATCTCTTGTTAAAGGGAAGAAAGTCTTCGTAGCTTTCAGAAACTGCATAAACTACAGTATTTATAAAAGTAAAAATTAATAATAATCGTAAACTTAAAATAACGTGGCGTTTGAATCTATTACACTTGAAAGCAACAAGCTCATATGCTTTACTTAAACCAAATATTTTAATGCAGCTTTTGAAACTAAAAATAGAGGAGGCTGGTTTGAGTTACATAAAATGACCAGCTCATCTCACAATGGATAGTTTTCAAGTAGCTGCAATGGCTCAAGGTTCTGCCAAGGCTCCTTCTTAATATACACTTAAATTATGACTCTGGACACAGATACGTAAACTTTTAGAGTTTTTGCCTTATATCTGCCTCTCTTCATCTTAGAAGACTTTATCAAAAGCATATTTTTTACCGTATATTGTCTATATCTTGATAGTCATTTATTTTATATAAAATTAAAGATTATATTTTCTTTTACATTATACAAGCAAAATAAGAATGCTTCTAAAATGACCTAAATTTATCTAAAACACACACTTTGTGACAAAAAAAAAAGAAGCAAGTATAAATAAATACTAGACTTGAAGATATAGTTCGTCCAGAAACGCAATTTGGCTGAATTTGAGCCGATTGGATGTCTGGTTTGGTTTCCCGAATTCTGAAACAAAATATGCCTGAATCCTGGATAAACTGGAAAGTGTGATACCCAAGCTATTTCTGTTGATTTGGAATTTGGTTTGCTGTGCAAACCTTTTGGGGCAAACTTAAAGTATTGACCGAACTGAAATTTTTGCGCCTGAAATTCTGGACCAAGAAGGAATTTTTTTCCTAGTTTGTTGCAAAATTGGAAGCACTTCAGACTGGGTTTTTTGCCTTCTTGTGGATCAACAGCAAAAGCAAATATGAACTTGATGGTACCATATCTCTTTTCGGCTATGTAGCTATTTAACTATGTAATTCTGCTGATCTGATTTTTTTTAATTAGGCTGAATTGATTAATTAAGTGAAATACCTATTGGCTATCCCTAGGGCCCCAGTTATACTGGAAAGTGTTGATGCTTCATTGATGGCTTGAGATGGCTTTATCAATGGGATTTTGTTCCATGATAACATTGTATAAACAACAGCTATGGACTTTCCTTATTCAGCAGATGTTTATTTAAAAAAAAAACCTTTGAAAATTATTATTGAGTAGATTCCTTTACTATACAAAATTTGTATCAAAACTAGACTATTTTAATTAGTTGGCAAAGTGTGACAATTTGCCTATACACTATGTACCAACAAGATGCAGTAGAATCTTTTCAATAGATTTTTTTTTTTTGCAGAAGGCAATTAAGAAAAAAGGAAGATTAACATGAAATAGAAAATTCTCTAAAGTTTCACTCAAGAGAAATCGCAAATTAAATTCATTGAAGTAACTGAAATGTAATTCACTGACCTTGTTAAAACAAATCACAGAGTATTTAAAGAACATGCTGACTCTGTGGCTGGTTCCTGATGTTCGGATGGATTAACCAACTCTGTCCATCAAATGAGAAATGAAATGTGTAATAAAATCCAACTTGAATTTTTTTTCGCACAACACTAAGGGACTTGAGGCAAGGCAGTGTATGCTTATTATAGCATCCTTCCCCCCACATCTCTTATTAAAAAGTCTTGAAACGGAAAATACCGAAGGCGTCGCACTTAATGTTACTGAGCTTTTTTTCAGAATCAGATCCCTTTCTTTTAAATCTGTGACTTCAAAGCTGAGATTCTAGTATTGCTTAGCAGATTGTGCTATTAATTTATATTCAAGGCTGTTTGATTATTTCCCGCTTAAGGTTCAACATGTAAATATTTCAGTAGTTTCTTATTTATTTAGTCGTGTTAGGCTGTGTAGTATCCAGTTGTAGTCTATTTATATGTAAATTAACTGTGTTCACTTGTGTTATTACCGGACATTCCCTGAAGACACTTAGAGTAACTCTTTTAGGTGGAAGTGCATCGTTTTTCAATTTGAATAAAGGACATTTTTAAGGAAAACTATTAATAAATTTAGTGATTTCTGCTGAATATGTGAATATTGGTACATAGTGTGAAATAAACGAATGCTTGGGGTCATTATAGAATATACGTTTGCCCATTTTGTTAAATAACAATGTTTTGTCTTTTTACCAAGTACATTACTCAGCTTCTGTTAAAGGGGCATGCATATAAGCACAAAAAGAAACCATCAATGGATATTTCAGGCATCAACCCAACGTTCATGTTTTTTATAGCTTCCTTTTAATTAATTAGCTTAAATTGAGGGACACCAATATAAGCAGTATAGCCACTACTCAGCCAAGTCCCTGGGCTCATTAGTCTTATACAGTCTGGTTGGTAAAATATAAAGAGTAGAGTATGTCGAACAATACGCTATAATATTTTTTTAAAATGTTTTTCTATTTCTTATGTGACCATCTGCATATCATGTGCAGGATAACCTTCAGCGAGGTATACCCCTAGTCTATACATTGTATCTATAAAATCACAGGACTGAAAGAGGAAAATAAACACTTCTTGGACTCTTAAAAAAAATAAAACAGGGTAACTTTGTGAAATGCCCACCTTCAAATGACAACAGCAACATTTCATAGTCCGTAGAATGTCGATGCAGTCAACAAGTCATAGTATGCCAACCGGTTACTTTCAATAGTAATTCACAAACGGAAGATATCGCGCACACACACTTAGGAATCCAGATGCTTATCAGGGCCAGGGTTGGTAAAACCCAGTTGAGCAGATAAAATAAACCTAAATTATTTTATCTATGAAACAGGTTACTTTCAGACATGATAAAACTGAAAATCATTGTAACTCAAGGCATTATGACTCGAGGGCTGTCTGTATGCTTTATCTTATTAGAAATTCTTACAATACACATGGAAATTAATTAAAACAAAGGTTTTGGCTCCAATCCATGATTAATACATATATTTTATGTATTGATTTTATATTTGTGACTTATTTGGTACATGTTCATTTAAAATACTTTAATTCACTGCAAAAGTATATTGAACAGTTCTTTTCATATTAAGATATTAAGATAATTTTGTATTAAAACATTTTTTGCTTTATTGCAGGTGTCTTCACTTGACTTACCATGGAAAAGATCCTCTGCAGTCTTCTCGTGTTTGGAATGGCAGTAATGGTCAAATCATGTCCAAAGTATTGTGTCTGTCAAAACTTATCAGAATCCTTAGGGACATTGTGTCCCTCAAAGGGCCTCCTTTTTGTACCAATAGACATTGATCGAAGGACAGTTGAACTGCGACTTGGGGGAAATTTCATTATAAGCATCAGTCGACAGGACTTTGCTAATATGACTGGTCTTGTTGACCTTACCTTGTCTAGAAATACAATTAGTTATATCCAACCCTTTTCTTTTTTTGATCTAGAAAGCCTGAGATCATTGCATTTAGATAGTAATAGGTTAACCAACCTTGGAGATGATATATTTAGAGGTTTAATCAATCTTCAGCATTTGATAATGAATAATAATCAGCTTAACAGCATCTCAGATGATGCTTTCGAAGACATCCTACAAACTCTAGAAGACTTGGATCTTTCTTATAATAATCTTAAAAGCATTCCATGGGATGCTATTAGACGGATGATTAACCTCCATCAGCTAAGTTTGGACCACAATCTAATTTATTATATAACAGAAGGCACATTTCAGGATTTGCATAAATTGGCCAGATTAGATTTAACATCTAACAGACTACAGAAGCTACCTCCAGATCCAATATTTGCAAGGTCCCAAATATCAATGACATCTGCAACCCCTTTTTTGCCCCCATTGTCACTCAGTTTTGGAGGAAACCCCCTACACTGTAATTGTGAGCTGCTCTGGCTAAGGAGACTTGAGCGAGAAGATGATATGGAAACATGTGCATCACCCTCTCCTCTTAAAGGAAGATATTTTTGGTATGTACGAGAAGAGGAATTTATCTGTGAACCACCCTTGATTACTCAACACACCCAAAAGCTCTTGGTTCTGGAAGGACAAACTGCTTCACTAAAATGCAAGGCTGTTGGAGATCCTGCTCCAGTCATACACTGGGTTGCACCTGATGGACGCCTTATCGGGAATTCCTCTAGGACAGCTGTCTATGAGAATGGCACTTTAGATATCCTTATAACCACGTCTAAGGATTATGGAACTTTTACTTGCATTGCAGCAAACGCTGCAGGAGAATTAACGGCACCAGTTGAATTGTCAATCATTCAGTTACCGCATCTTAGCAATGGTACTGTTCGTGCACCTCCGCCAAAATCAGTGCTCTCTGAAATCACTAGCTCTAGCAAATCCAACCGAGGAGAAGTCAAGCCTCCACCAGAGAGGGCTGTTGTGGTTTCAGAGGTGACAACTACCTCAGCTATGGTCAAATGGTCAGTGAGCAAAGCTGCTCCGAAGGTCAAAATGTACCAACTGCAATACAACTGCTCAGATGATGATGTTCTCATTTACAGGTAAAGTACCTTTTAACTTCTTATTAAGAATGGTCATTCAGGATGATTACAGCTGGAAAATCATTGTATAATGCCTTGCCTGTATCTTATGGATAAAATCTTTCACACAAGATGTATGACATAGGATGGATACTTAAGCTATCAACATGTCCCAATGATTTTGTGAGAAGAATTAAAGGTAAGACCCTTTTCTTTACTGATACAAGCATTTGTAGCACTGTTATTGTGTCAAAAAATATAGTAAATATCAATACAAATATCACAAAATATCACTACATTATTGTTTATATAAAGTAACAGTGTATATGTAAAGAGACATAATTAGGGTTATTCATGTTTAAATCAAATTTCCGTATATACTTGAGTATAAGACAAGTTTTTCAGCACATTTTTTGTGCTGAAAAACCCCCACTCATCTTATATTCAAGTCAATGTCTGTATTATGGCAACTTACATTGCCATAATACAGACCTGTTGGGGGCTGGCAGCGAGCTGTAACTTACCTTTCCTGCAGCTCCTGTCAGCTCCCTTCTCTCTCCTCCGGTCCAGTCAGCTCCCCTGTCAGCTCAACTGTAAGTCTCGCGGTGTGACTGCAATGTGGAGCGTTGCCACGGTAACCCTTATAGTGGAGCTGACAGGGGAGCTGACCGGACCGGTAACACCTCCACTGGACGACCAGGGAATGAGAGCCCCCCTCCCTGCCATGTATCAAGCAGGGAGAGGGAAGAAGAAATATAAATAATAATAAAATAAAAATAAAATATTAATAATATTAAAAAATAATAATAATAAAATAAAAATAAAATATTAATAATATAACAAAAACATAATAATATTAAAATAATAATAATAATTTAAAAAAATAATAAAAATGCCCACCCCCCACCAAGGCTCTGTATCAAATACACAAACACACTCTGCATCACACACACACACTGCACTCATACGCACACACATACACACAACACTCATAGACACACACACACACACACTGCACTCATACACACACACACACTGCACTCATACATACACACACTGCATTCATACGCACACACACTGCATTCATACGCACATACACCACATTCATAGAAACACACTGCATTATATACACACACACACACACTGCATTCATTATACACACACTGTAAATAAATATTCAATTAATATAATTTTTTGGGGATATTTTATTTAGAAATTTACCAGTAGCTGCTGCATTTCCCACCCTAGTCTTATACTTGAGTCAATAAGTTTTCCCAGTTTTTTTGGGTAAAATTAGGGGTCTCGACTTATATTCGGGTCGACTTATACTCGAGTATATACGGTAAACCTTATTTGAAAAGTAACAAATTCATATAATGAAAATATATTCACTAAACAACAAATGATGGCTTATTAACAGGCTTTGGAAATTTAAGTGCAAATAGAAAAATGTAAAAAAAAAAATCTATTGCTAATTAAAGGGACACTATAGTCACCAGTACAACTTTAGCTTAATGAAGCACTTTTGGTGTATAGAACATGCACCTGCAGCCTCACTGCTCAATCCTCTGCCATTTAGGAGTTAAATCCCTTTGTTTATGAACCCTAGTAACACCTCCCTGCATGTGACTTGCACAGCCTTCCATAAACACTTCCTGTAAAGAGAGCCCTATTTAGGCTTTCTTTATTGCAAGTTCTGTTTAATTAAGATTTTCTTATCCCCTGCTATGTTAATAGCTTGCTAGACCCTGCTAGAGCCTCCTGTATATGATTAAAGTTCAATTTAGAGATTGAAATACAATTATTTAAGGTAAATTACATCTGTTTGAAAGTAAAACCAGTTTTTTTTTTCATGCAGGCTCTGTCAATCATAGCCAGGGGAGGTGTGGCTAGGGCTGCATAAACAGAAACAAAGTGATTTAACTCCTAAATGACAGTGAATTGAGCAGTGAAATTGCAAGGGAATGATCTATACACTAAAACTGCTTTATTTAGCTAAAGTAATTTAGGTGACTATAGTGTTCCTTTTTCAGAAATCCATCTTTGTCAGCTATTAATGGACAAGCTATCACAGCTCAACTGTTAGTGAAAAGATTTCTGAAATGTAAGACAAATTATAATTTATCCTGCGTGCCTAATAAATTAAACATCAATGTTTGCAGTTTCAGCATCCCTAAACCGGATTAAGAAGAAATATCAAGAAAAAAAACGACTTTTGTTTCATATCTTGTAGCTAGGTGTATGATACTTTCCTAACCATAGCATACACAATAAATTCTCCTTTTTAACACATTCACTACCAAGTTATAAAATAAATAGTGCACTATTTGAAACCTAGGATATATAGCTAGCACAATAAAAACAAAACTACAATTTTGTGGATAGATTGTTGTCTAGGGATACCTAAAAAATGAATTTGTAGATTTGCACATTTTGTTTTCTTATTTATTAGCCCTTCCTTTACAGAGATTCTGGGGTAATATAAAACTATTTCGATAATATATGGAATCTAACTTATTTGCTATTTCAAAGAAGGAAACCTAAAAAAAAAGCAGAAATGGTTGCACATACAGTAAGTGTAACAAAATAGTAAATAAAAAATGTAAGAAGAACTACCAAAGGAACATCATAGCATTTTTTGTAATGCAGGATTCTAAAGCTCGAGGCTCATATGTTAATTATTTCTGTATGTAAGTATATTACAGCTACATGGCTAAAACCAGGTATCTGTACAACACAGGACATTTCATCCTTTGTTGCAGCTTACATATAATAGCCTTTCACTGTGTCGAGTCCTCATTCTTTACCTTATCTAAGTAAACATTTAGACACTGTATCTTGGGACATATATGTGGTTGCCCAGCCAAGAGGTGAAACATTTTTAATCTCTCTGCTTCAGACAGAGGATTTAGGCACATCAACAAGAGACAAATTAGTTTCTCTGCTGAATGAATAATGTAGCTAGGATATAAGGAAGACAAATTGTGTTTAATAATATATATTTTTTAACAATGTTTGAATAAAATGGGGTTATCTAAGACATTAAAAAGTTATACAAATAAAGCTTTTTATTTTTTATTTTTTTTAAATAGCCTGTGTGGTAATTATATCTCTTATTATATGTGTTATGAGACTGGTCTACCCTTTAATGCCATCTCTCATGTATGAGACTTTATTGAGTTTTGTAAAGTTTATATTTGCATAATGCTGTCTTTTTCCACAGGAAAAAACTAAATTCACAAACCCATTTATTGATATTATGAAGATTTATTGTACTAGAATCACAGACTTATTTATATAAACAATGAGGATTTCCATATGTTTTTATCACATGAAGCTATTTAAATAATTGAGCAGTTATGCATCCTTCTTTCGAGAATATAAATGAGGTCTCAGCCCAAACAAAGCTTGTGGTAGTGCTGTTAGAGCACATTATTATAAAAATGTTTTATAAACAGATTCATAATGTTTCCAATGACATTTCAAAACTCAGATTGCGCCATAGTTAAACTATAATTTTGTCATTTATACACAATATCACCTTCCTTTTGGATCCAGTATTCTGTGAGGTTTACAAGAGGGAATTGTGCTGAATTTCTGTGAATTTCTCTCTTAATCATCTATATTGTTTATCAACTGACCTTCAGAGAAGAAATCCCTTTAATTCTTTTTGTCTGTTGCTGGTGTTTGTACTCATTTCGCTTCTGCTATATAGTCTATGTAAACATCAATATTTAGTACTTTAAAGGGACCTGCATTACTTTGAGACAACTGTCTCATAAAAAAGCATTAGCTTTATACGGTATGAGACAATTGACTCACTCTGTAAGTTTAAAAATATTTTTTTTCCCCATGTTTACCGGCTTTCAACTTTCTTATGCTTTCCACACCCACTCCAGGGGTGACACTGATCTAACCAATCAGTGTCCTATTCCTAGGAATGCTGGAAAAGTGCATTGGGCATGCCTAGCATATTTATACATGTGCAAGTGGAAGATCTCTTAACACGGGGAAAAGAGAGGGAGTCTGATCAGTGTGATCATGCAGAGCAGGCTTCAGCGTCGGGCTTCTCTCTCTCCTGCTGCTGCACAATGATGCCCAGTGTGTCATTTGTGGACTGGTCTGATAGTGAAGATGGGTGGACCAGAGGGAGCAGGTGGCAGGCTGAAAAAACTCCTCAGCTGAGAGTTGTGCTTAATAATGCAACCAGACCAAGTTTATGAACATTTATTACATTTTTTTAATTTTTTCTTGCTTTATTTTGTTTTGTTTATTTGTTTAAAAGCGTTTACTCCTTGGCTTATAAAAATAATTGTCAAGTGATGCATGTCCCTTTAAATGTTTTTATACTGTATTTTGATTGTGATACAGATCTTAAATAGACCATATTAATTTTTAGATTTAGATTGCTAATCTGAATGGTAAATAAAATCTCTCTCCTGATTTAAAGGGAACTGTCATTTGCCAGTATATTAATATTATTAAAGGTAAATTCTGCTCTGTCTAACCTGTTGAGCGTTGAGTGACACCATATTCTTTCACTCTCTCTTAGGTTTCTTATATATTGAAAATGTTCTAATACCTGTATCGGTGATCCAGTTAAATCCAACTGGTATAAATACATATATATATATATTAGTGATATTGCTTGTTTGAGATGGTTATTTTAATGCAACAATAAATATTTTTTCTTACATACAAGAATTGTATGGTTGGGTGTCAGATATCTCTTTTTATTCACTCAAAAAATAAAAATTAATTGATATATATATTTTTTTACTAATATTATTATGTAGTTATGGGATATATATAGTAGATATAATATTATCTATATTTGCTGTTTTGTTGTTAATTTGAAATTCCTTTGTCACCATCCAATATGCCATATACATATTTGATATGGAAGGTTGACATTTGTTGTTTGTCTTAAGTGGTATACTTTTTTTTTTTTTTTAATATAATTCTTTATTTTGGTTGTGCAAAGATAAACAGAAGGTCTTGCATTGCCACAACAGCTGATGCAGT